GTGGTGCATGACTAGCCGTTCAAAGCACTTCATGAGGATGGGGGTAAGTGCAACTGGACTGTAGTCATTGAAGCAGGATGGAGACGTATATGTGTGTGTGTGTGGAAATGATTAGAAAATGCTAAATGGTCTTTAAAAAAAATTGTTACAGTTCATGGTCATAATTGACCACCATAGGTAATGAATGGAAAATATAGAGTATCTGAAAATATAGAGCTATATTTTGGAGTGCAATCTACAAACCAGCCATGATGAAGTAGTCATTGATAATGTCTAAATATATATTCAAAATTAGTGGTTAATATTGTGTACACCTCTAACTCTCTGTGTTTTATCGTCCAGGCCTAATATATACACTGTCGTTCAAAAGTTTGGGATCAGTAAGATTTGTAATGTTTTTTAAAGAAGTCTCTTCTGCTCCTCAAGGCTGTATTTATTTGATCAGAAATACAGAAGAAAAAAAAAACAGTAATATTGTGAAATATTGTTGCAAGTTAAAATAATGGTTTTCAATTTTAATATACTTTAAAATATAATTTATTCCTCTGATGCAAAGCTGAATTTTCATCAGCATAATTACTCCAGCCTTCAGTGTCACATGATCCTTCAGAAATCATCCTTAAATTCTGATTTATTATCAATATTGGAAACCGTTTTGCTGCTTAGTATTTTTTATTTTTATTTTTTGAACCAGTGGTATTTTTTTCAGGATTCTTTGATGAATAAAAAGTTTAAAAGAACAGCATTTATTCAAAATAGAAATCTTTTGTAGCAATATACACTACCATTCAAAAGTTTGGGGTCAGAATTTATTTTTTCTTTTTCTTTTTAAAGAAATGCTTTTATTCAGCAAGGATGTGTTAAATTGATAAAAAGTGATAATAAAGACTTACATTGTTAGAAAAGATTTCTATTTTAAATAAATGCTGTTCTTTTTTATTTTACACATTAAAAATCTTACTGATCCCAAACTTTTGAACGTGTGTGTGTGTGTGTACATATACATATACATGCTAAATGAAAACACACACACAAAAAAAAATCTGGAAATTATTAGAAAAGGATAAAAGGTCTTTAAAAAAGTCATTACACTTCATGTTCAAAAATGACCACCATAGGAAATACTACAATACAGAGCAACTTTTGGCAGTACAGTCTACAAATCACCCATAATGTAGTAGTTTTTGATAATGTGTAAATATATATTAATTATATCCAAATGTAAAACCTAATAAAACTAAATAATTATGTCTGAAAATACTTACAAAATAAGCAACTAGAGAATACCCAGCCCTATATTTAAAGTTATATTTACATTTATTTATATGTATCTATCTATTATCTATGGAAGTATCTATTGAGATATCTAGTGGTTACATTGGGATTTTCTTTTTCTCCCACTAGATGGCACCAATCTGTCTTCCTTGCATTGGATTTTAACTTTGGTCTATAAAATTAAACCCTGTATCAGTTGTAAATAATATATTTTGTACATTCATATTATTTTATATAGAAGGAAATGGTGCATAATCTAGAGGTGAATATTGTGTAATAAAATTAAATCCCCTTAAAATACAGTAAAAATACCCCTAAAAAAAGTTAGACTAAATATTATTGAGATGTATAACATATTACATTCATTCATTTCATTAATAAAAACATTAATTTCTTTGGTCTGTTTTGACCGCTGAGGATCACAAGTGTGACCTCTAAGTGAGGAATACCAGAGGAATCTGTGATATGTTTCTAAAGTTTCTGCTTGTTATTGTTTAGGTGGTGGGACACGTCTTCGATCAGGTGGATGAGGAGTTGAGCTCCCAGTATCATGAGACTGTTTACTCACTGCTGGATTCTCTCAGCCCTGGATACAGAGAAGCGTTTGGAAATGCTCTGCTACAGAGACTGGAGAGGCTCAAACAAAACGGACAGTGAGGGCTTCAGTATCATTCACAATATCTCTGCTCGCTAACAGTTCAGTGCCGCTCTCAGCTTAAAGCATCAGTGGTACCTTTTTCAGTTTTTAGCCTGTGATATGTTTTAACAGATCATCTTCTGACTTGCCTGTGATGTTTTAAAGTATTTTACTGTTATTTGGAGAGGTATCATTGCTGTGACACAGCGGGCCCAGATGAATACTCCATTTTTATTCATATTTATGCAAATGAAATAACCCTCAGAAATAGCAACGTGCTGTTTTGAGGACTATCGGGAAATGTTTGAACTAAAGTCTTTTGTGTTCACATACTAGTGCTCTGATTTTGGATGAACTGGGTCCTGCAAATATGAGTTTTAGAGCTCCATACTGTACTTCGATTTTGGTGTTTTTAAAATCTGGTTTTAAATAATGATTTTTATTGAAAGATTTTAAGTTACGCAGAACCCTTGATTTACTGGTCAAAACAAAATGCTGAGTATTGCACTAAGTGAGATAAAGCAGCCATTTGCTGACTTTGTTTGAAAAGGCTGTGTAAAAATATGCTATTAAGTTACATTCCATTTAAGTTCAGTTTTGAGCAGAAGGAAGAGATTCATTTAAATAAATGCATTAATACAGGAAGTTGTTGTATGATGGGTTTCTACCTCATGTTGGGTGTTTATTTTGACCTCTTTAGCATGCCTGTGAAATTGATGTGTGTTTTCAGCTGGCAGGTGATAATGGTATGCTGTTTTGTGATAATAGGAGCAATGGACAGAATTGGTCGTCTGGTTTTAGCAAATTCCTGTGAAACCCAATACTCTCTGTATCTATCCCAGACAAACCTGCTAATAATTTACAGAATGTTTGCTTAGATAACCAAGACGAAAAAGGGTTTCAATGATGTACATGGCACAAATAACTTCTGTACCTGAAGGAATGTTGCTTGCTTTTGTTTAATTGTAATAAAAAGCACACATTCAAATGCTACTTTGGTTTGATGATTCAGTTTTGTAGCCAAGTCATATTTTGCACAAGCTTTAGAATTCATGTAAAGACAATGGTGTGTTCTTATAGCTAGTTTACAGTAAAATAATTGTGCAATGAGTCAATGACTATATAAACCAAAATAATGCTACTGTTCGATATGTAAACATGAAAAACAACCGCAAATTCTGCTTTATCATAATAAATTCATGTGCTGCATAGTGAAACACATCTGCCCTAGTAACCACCAGACCTCAAACACATGACAGGTGACCTCTCAAAAAGAATAAAGTTGTTGCCTGAGAAAACAGAACTGAAACTGAAGTATTGGACAGTTTGCTTATTTTCTAACAATACACGTCTTTACTATCACAAAGTATTCATTTCTTTCACAAAAAGAATGAAAAAAATTACCCCAAACTTTTGAACTGTAGTGTATATTGTTAGAAGAGATTTCCATTTTGAAAAAATGCTGTTCTTTTGAACTTTTTTAATTCATCAAAAAATCCTGAAAAAAAGTACCACAGGTTCCAAACCACAAAAAAAAAATAAAAAAAAAGTTAAGCAGCACAATCGTTTCCAACATTGATACTCAGTATATAACACTGAAGACTGGAGCAATAATGCTGAAAATTCAGCTTTGAATCACAGGAATAAATAATATTTTACAGTATATTAAAAAAGAAAACAGTTATTTTAAATTGCAATAATATTTCACAATATTACAGTTTTTCTGTATCTTTGATCAAATAAATGTAGCCTTGATGAGCATAAGAAACTTAAAAAAAAAAACAACAACATTAAAATCTTACTGATCCCAATAATTTGAACAGCTCTGTCTGTGTGTGGGTGTGTATGTGTATGTATATATTCCCTGCAGGAATCCATAAACAGAAGAAAAACAAAAATCAGTTTACCATAAAAAAGTAGTTTATTTCATTCAGACACATTTGCCAATGTTTTAAGAAAATAAGCTCATATTAAGATGCGGTCTTTATTAAATATGCAGATTTAAAATGTTAGTAAAAAGTTCACAACCAGTTGTTTTAAAAAAAAAAAAAAAAAACTTTGATTAGACACATCAGAACACCGTCTAGCCACACAGGAGCTAGTGCACACTTGATTTAATCACCGGCAATGACCACTGTTGTTTGTCAGCGTCTCGTTCTAGTGAATCATTAATATAACAGAAACAAACTAAGATTAGGCAATTTCTGTCGAGTGGCACTGTGTGCATAGTTAGAGACCATACATTCGAATGACTAATGTGTCATGTTTAGAAAAAAGTATTAGAATAAATCATAAAATCTGCATCTACTAATATTAGTTCTAAAAGGTCCATAGAAAAGGCACACATCCAGATGCCTCGGTTCTTAATTGTATCCCTTTGTAAGCATTTTTGGCTTCAGTGTTGGCCTTCAGTTCACAATCTGAACAGGGAACTTGATGCAAAATAAATCTTTGCTGGAGTCGTCTCTTAATTCCCATTCCACAACCAGTTTTATCTAATAAACAAACCAAAAATGAGGAAGTGAATGCATGCAACATTAAAGCATTGTTTAGAACAGGGGTGTCAAACTCAGTTCCTGGAGGGCCACAGCCCTTCACAGTTTAGATGCAACCCTAATTAAACACACCTGATCCAGCTAATCAAGTCAATAAGGCTTATTTGAAAACTACATGGTATGTGTGTTGGAATGAAACTAGGCAGGGCTGCGGCCCGCCAGGAACTGAGTTTGAGACCCCTGATCTAGAACTAGAGGTAGATGAGGAAGTTTACACTTACTGCTGGATACTCGTTCTTGACGGGTAACTGGTTGACGTAGCTATATGTTTTTTGCGGTTCAATAGGACACTGAATTCCAGACTTGCAACCATCTGATTGAGGAATAGGGAAGGGGACGGGGATGCCAGCGACCACTCCGTGAACCACAGCTGCACTAGTCTTACTCTCAACACCTAGGGGAAATACAAACATGCTGTTGATTTCCTAAATTTAGATCTGGTTTATCTGAGCTGTTACTACACATGAAAAGCAACTCACTACTGGTGAAGGTTACATTGACTGAATAGGACTGTCCCTTGTGAAGCTGGCATGGCTGTTGAGAGCAGGGCTGGATGTCAACCTCAGTGACTTTTCCTTCTACTGAGCCTGTAAGGAAAAACAAGAAAAATGAAGATTTAAAAAGACTTTAATAAAGTAAAATACAAAGTATGAACTTCATAAACAAAGTACTTACCACAGTCCACAAATTTCACCTGCTCAGCATTAGTGTAGGCGAGAAAAGAAAGCAAAACAACGCCGAGCACACGGTAGTCCATGGTTCAAATGAATCCTAGAGAGAACCAACAGAGCACAAACACCAGTTTGACATCGCTCGATCACATGAGAGTGACTCTCTGCGTACTTTGTACACTTCCTAATGAAGATGTGAACGTTAATCATTAATACACAGAAAACACAGGAATTAGCAAAACAGGAACGGGCTTTCAGCTCAATGAAAAAGTTAAAAATACCAACTAGTATAATTAAAAATTGCTTACCAGCCTTTCCTTCAGCCACTTGTTTCCACACCTTACTTCCTTGTCACAAGATCAGAATGACTGTGTTCTCCAATCCAATGCTGTCTGTATGGGCGTCTGAATGACGTAAACGCAGTTTCGGCAACTCTTAACCAATAGCAATGACTCATGGAAATGGTCTGAAACAAGGAGGACATTCTGTTGCCAGATATATCAAAACCCCTCTTTAAGGCTATTATACTCGCTCAGGGAATGAAAAGAGAAGTAAAACGATCTTACTCTCTTGATTGTGTGTGTGTGTGTGTGTGTGTACCTGGTATTTATCACGTTATGGGGACCAAATGTCCCCACAAGGCCCGGTACTAGGCTCGCTGGACTGGGGGGCAATCGGAAATTGTGGTAGGGCAGCACTTTCTAGGGTAATATATTCATAGTTTACTTTTATTTACTCGATGTTCAGTCTTGCATTTTGTGTCTGTGTGAGTGCAGAAATGTTAAATATGTGTGTAGACAATATTAAGCGAATCAAGTGAATCACACCCACTGCTCCGGGTGTGTGTTCACGGTGTGTGTGTGTTCACTGCTGTGTGTGTGCACTTTGGATGGGATAAAGGCAGAGCACTAATTCCGAGTATGGGTCACCATACTTGGGCACATGTCACGTCACTTTCACTTTCACTTATCAAAGCTGTGAAAACCTCCATTACAGGACATTTATGAATGTCCTCATTTATAAATACAATACATAGTTTTTTGTATAATACTGCATATATAATATTATAATATAATATTTTAGGGCTGTCGCGATTCGTCGATTTTATTCGACTATTCGATTTTTTTAAATCCCAGACTTCATTTTGCTGCGTCGACTATCCGGCAAAATACCGGAGGTGGCGCATTTCACGGACGAGAATCCATAAAACACATTATTAGACTGTTTCCCAAGGCTGCATGATATATTAAACCCATTTAAAATCATTATTAAGCA